TGCATTGTGATTGTGCTTCTTTGTTAGTTCTTTGAGACATAGTTTTAATCTGATTCTGTATGATGTAGTGATGACAGCAACAGTACAGTTTTCATTATTATTATTTTTTTAATGTCTCAGCTATTCCCGAAGGGTGTGTAAGCTCTATAGCAGGAAGCAGTGCATTGTAAATCTGTCACTTCCTGCAAAGGCATTCCAAAAAGTATGGATTTTCAGCTGAATGAACTTTACTTTCTCACTATTTTTGTTATACTTTTTATACTTTATTGCAGTGGTTATCAACCTTCCTAATGCTGCGACTCTTTAATACAGTTCCTCATGTGGTGGTGACCACAACCATAGAATTATTTTTGTTGCTACTTCATAACTGTAATTTTGCTACTGTTATGAATCATACTGTAAATAACTGATATGTAGGATGTATTTTCATTGTTACAAATTGAACATAATTAAAGCATAGTGATTAATCACAAAACAATATGTTATTGTATATTGTGAAATATTTATTTGTTTTCCGATGGTCTTAGGGTGACTCCTGTGAAAGGGTCATTCGACCCCCAAAGGGATCGCCACCCACAGGTTGAGAACCGTTGCTCTATTGGCTTAAAAATGCTCTTTGGCTTAGTAGATGATGAGATTTACTTTATATGATTTTACATAACTTCTCATATTTTTGGTGCAACTTAGATAATAGTGAAATTTAATTCCATATTTTCATGTAAGCTTTTTTTTTTTCAGAAAACAAATCATTTAAAAAATACCTAACTCATTCAAAATAGGCAAAGGGTATGAAAAGGCAGTTAAACCAACTATGCGTGTGTGTGTGTGTGTGTGTATATATATATATGTAGTCTGAGAGGCTAAGCTTCATTTGTAAGAGGAGTGTAACTCACTCAAAACCGAAAACCAACTGCCATTGAGTCAATTCTGATTCATAGATACCTTACAGGACAGATTAGAACTGTTAGTTTCTGAGATGAATACACCTTTACAGAGCAGAAAGGCTCATATTTCTCCCTGTGAGTGACTGATGAGTGTGAACTGCCTACCTTGGAGTTAGGAGCCCATTGTGTAACACACTATGCCATTAAGGCTTCTTGGAATGTAACTATAATGTCGACTTTTTTTAACCCTCTAGATTGCCAAGGAGAAAACTATGTGATAACTATTTGATATAGTTCTTGTTGTTATAGGGATATGGCCATTGTAATGAAGTAACTGTAACTTGACAGTATTTATCAAAATAAAAAATATACATGTGCATTTATACAATAAGTCTCACCCACTGCCTTGAAATGGACTGACGCGTGCAACCCTATACAGTATAGGATTTCTGAGGCTGTAAATCTTTATGGGTGTAAACAGTCTCAAGTTCCTTCTAAGTAGTAGATGGTTTTTATCTCTTATCTTGCAGATAACAGTCCACCGCTTACCTATCACCACTAGAGTTCCTATGCAGTGAGTCTGATTCTAGGAATTTGCCCTCACATCTGTTAATGCATATATGATAGCGTATATTTGAGTATTGAAAAATGTTTATTGCATCATTGTAATGGTAAAAAGGCTGGAAACATGAAATACTTATATATAGGAGCCTTTAAAATAAACTTCAGCATGTCCACAGGTAGGCACATTTATAAAATTAAAAGGGGAAGTATAATAACACCATCTGAAGCATGTATCTATGAAAATGGATGCACACACATACAGTTCTATTCAGACAAAAGGCCTTGGTTGGAAGAAAACTTTCTTTTCATTATATTTTTGTTCTATTTGAATTTTTGTTTTTTTATCATGTACACACAATACTTTTTGGTAACAGGTTCTAATAGTTTCTTTTTTTTCCCCCTAAAGGATATAGTTTACATAGCTTAAGATCCAGTAAAGTATACAATTTACATTCCTTAAAGTTCACTGTTTAGAGTATTTCTAGGTATTTCACCCCCAAAGTTGTACAACTATCACCACAATCTAATTTTAGAACCTTTTGCTGTCCTTAAAAGGATCCTTCTACTCCCCTACCATTAACTCTCATCGTTTACCCCAGCTCCGGGCAATTACTACTCTACTTTCTACCCATAGAATTGTATATTTTGGACATTTTCATATAAATGACATCATATAACATTGTCACTTATAACTGGTTTCTTTTGCTTAGTATAACACTTTTGAGGCTCATCTATATTGTAGCATGGCATTTATGTTTCCTGTTTTTCCTCCAAGTATTTCTCAACTCCTCTTCCCCTTTTCTATAAAAAATTCATTTTACTATTGAGAATATACAGCAAAAATATCGGTGATAACACCAATTCAACCCTTTGTACATGCACAATTCAGTAACATCGGCTACTTTTGAGTTGTGTAACCTTTCTCATTCTTCTGCAATTAATTCCCACCTCATTAACATAGGGTACCCCAGGTTCCTATCGTATGTTTTGAGTTGCTGTTGTCACTCTGATCCCATTTAGATAGTTCTTAAAAGAGCACAATGCTCAAGGCAGCTGTTTACTCAAAACCAAACTGAACTCACTGCCATCAGTTCAATTCTGATGCATACGACAGCCTAGAGCTGCTTCTGTGGGCATCTGCAGAAAGCCTCATCTTTCTGCAGTGGAGTTGCTGGTGGTTTCAAACGGCTTACCTTGTGCAGCCTATGCTTAACTCACTGTGCCACCAGGTATCCTTTTTGGAAGAATTCAGAGAAAATAAGAAAGATAGGAGAGAGAATAAAATAACGGAGTCAGACACATTTTATGGTAGCATGTTCACTTCAGCTTCTCTTGATGGACTATGCAGAACAGTGCAGTGGAGATCTGGCAGAAGTGAGTGCAGACGTTTACTATCTTGGCATCTCTATAGGTAAGCTTAAGACATGCACATTCAGTAGCTTCATATGTCACAGGGTGGGTGGTATCTACGTTAAAGGTGCCGTGGTGGGAAGAGAGAGCGAAAGGATAATGTCTGCTTCTATAAGGAGATGTAATCAACCGTGTGCTCACTTTGAAGCAGCATAGCTGTTAAGGGGAGAGCCTGTGGGAATGGTTTTCAAAGCAGGAGAATTTATTTGGAATTTACCTGTAACTTATCTAAGTGGAGGCTTTCCTACTGTGGAATACCAACTTTCCAGATTCCCTCTGTTATAAGTGAAGAAATACAGTCCTTGTCATCCTTCCCTCAGTGTTAGTTTCCCACAGTGGTACAGATTAGTATGTTTCTCTGTCGCTCAGGTGATATTTATTATGCCATAGGCTGAGATAGAAAACTGCCAAGTTTGACCTATTTTCTTAAAAAATTATTTTTAAAATGTTATTATTTTTTTAACCTTGACCTTCAATAGCAAAAGATTTCTCTCAAGTTGAGTAGAAGTTGTAAGTAGCAATATTTTCATTGTTCCTTGTGATCAGCCTTTTATATTATTTGTCATTTGTGAATGATGTCATTGCCAATCCTTGTGTTAACACTCTTGTTAACATATTAATGTATTTTTTGCTATTGTTTTTGTCATTTAAAACAATTTTACAGAGATTCATTTAGTTGGCATAGCTAACCCATTGATGAGGATTGAGATTCTGAATTCCTTCCATCTAATATCTTAGAATATTGTATTAGTACGTTGTGTTTGAGGGGAGATTCTTTAACCCAGATTTGCTGTGTATTCTTATGCCTTCTTCTAGATAAAAAAATTTTTAATCATTTTATTAGGGGCTCATACAACCCTTATCACAATCCATAAGTCTGCTCTCAACAAAGCCTGGTTATATTTTTATTCCTATTGCTTTTCCTGTTGATTAGAATTAGTTGAAAACTAATTTTTAAACAAATCTGCTCATCATGATATAATAGACAGTAAGGGTTACGATTTCCTTACTGACTTGATTGCATAAAAGCCATTGTCTTACTCTTAGGTTACTCATTTTCTTAGGCATTTTTATAAGCGTTTAAAAATTGGCTGTATCTCTTTGAATCCCATGTCATTCCTTTAAAATGGAATTTTCTCAAAAATTTTTGAAGCCGTCTCATGTACATACCTTCAAAAAGTTTCTAGAAAATGTCCATTATTTTAATGTTATGAACTTTTTGAAGCGTGTTTGTGTGTCATGAACTTTTTGAAGTGTGTGCAGGGGACTTCAGAAACATTGTGGAAAAGCAGAACTTGATGGTAATGGCCCGCATGAACTTTTTGAAGGCATATAAATGAATACATACACTTAACATGATTAAGTTCCAACACAGGGTCCTGGTGTAGATATCAGCATTTTGCACAAATGATGGATGAACACCTCAGATCACAAATGGAGGATGGCTACATCATTACATAACTGCAAGCCTCATCATCATATAACTGACAGACCACATTATTACATCACTGCCAATTCACTGAGAAATATGGCTCAGCCAAGTTGACACGTGACCTTATTGATCACACCCAGCATTAATCATGCCCTCGCATGTTGACATTTCTATATGCCAGGTGGATGCCATTAATGCACAAAATAGTTGCAAGGTAGATGTATTTACTATTGTCCTAAATGTGACATGTTGGATAATGAGTTAGTCAGTATGTGAGGAATAGGTTTACACCTATCCACTGGCATGGTGGTCACACATTAGCCCACTAGCTTCAAGGACAGCTGTTTAAAACCACCAGCCAGCTCCTGGGGAGAAAGATGAGGATTTCTACTCCCTTAAAGAGTTAATCTTAGAAATTCACATGGGCAGTTTTTCCCTGTTCTATTGGATCACTCTGTGTCAGCACTGAATTGATGGGAGTGAATTTGGTTTAGTATTGTAAGAAATACATAACTTTGCACATAAAATTTTTGTAGGTTCATTTTTGACCTGATATGGTTTATTTGGAAGATGGAGAATGTAATTTGTGTATGACTAGTTTGTGCATTCTTTCATTGATTCAGACAAGACTTGCTAGTGGTATTTTGCTTTGATAAATTTTGCTGATGGTGTCAGTGTTTGGAAAGTAATGTCTTTTCTCCTTGTTATAGGTCCTTTTGTTCTGCATCACAGCTGCCATGTACATGTTCTTTTTCAGGTATGTTCTGTTATACCTTATATTTTAATAACAAAAGCAGTAGTGTGTATTTGTGTTTTGTTTGTTTTTAATCTACCAGGAAACTGATCTTTGCCCCAAATAATTGTGCACCATAAATGACATCCTGTTTTCTAGAATGGTTAAAGATCAAGCACTGCACGTTAGTGCATAGAGAGAAGAGGAGGAGAGAAGACGCATTTTCTTCAGTAGATAGCCATAGCAATGCGGGATTAGGAGTTTTGATTAGGGGCACACTCCACTTCTTCTTAAATCTCAGTTTTTATCTTCTTATTACAAGCAGTAGGATAAGAATTTTCAGTATATGTACAGACTTCAAATCACATCCCAAGTAACAAGGCCTTAAAATTAAAATTTACACTAAGTTGATAGAGACTTTCATGGGTTTTTAATAAAGATATGTTTAGTAGGTATATTTATCTTTTCAAAAAACATAAATGAAATAATTCAACCATACCAGAAATTTTAAGTCAGTATTTAAAAACAAACAAACATTGTAACACATATTTGATAAAATAAACTAAAATTACCTGACTATTCTAATGTTAGAAGCCCTGGGCTGGTAGTGTGGTGGTTAAGCAGTGGGTTATGACCCACAAGCTTGGCAGCTCAAAAGCAAAAGCTGCTCTGAGGAAGAAAGAAAGGGATTTCCACTCACATATAGTTTACGGTCATGGAAACTCACAGGGGCAGGGCTACCCTGTACTGTAGGGTTGCTAGAGTTGACATTGACTCCATGGCAGTGATTAAACATCATATAGATCTATAAAGTACTGATCTTCTAAAGCAACATCTAGATTGTCAATAGGGGTATAAACAAGACAAAATAAACATTCTAGATCTGGGAGACTTGATATGCAGAGGTTTGGTAATAAATAGTATAGTATTTTATACCAGTCAGTCATGAGATTGTTAGATCTATCTCTCTTAGTTAACATATCTCCATATATATCATAATATCTCTGTAGTTCTTTATTGAAATAACATAGGGTAGGGTGGAAGAGTTAGGAACTATAATATAATTTCATCTTTGCAAAAATTTCACCATTGTATTTAGACAGAGTATAAGGACAATATTGCAAAAAAAAGTTCACATGGTTTATTATTTATATTCTATTTAGTATGAAGATCAAACATATAAACTAGTGAAAATATAATCATAAATAAAAAAATAGAAACATAGCTTTCATTGACATGTATATTATTCTCTTCTAATATGAGACTTACAGACAATATATCTAATTAACATGTAGCACTTCTTAGTCATCAGAAGATTTTGAGGTTTACAATGTAATGGTGGGTTGAATATACTGATAATCCCCAATTTGTAACATGGCTTTAGAAAATTATATTTTGAAACTACTGCCATCAACATAGTATTTTTGGTGTAGAAAGAAAATCAACTCTATAAATATGTATTTTGGTGCTAAGAGCTACAGAACCATTTCCTGTTTCAGTCACAAAGTCTGGGTTGAAAACAACACCTTTAAAATACTTTCCAGAAGGCTCAATACATGGTTTAAGTGCCAAGATAAATAGTTTCAATTTTTTAAGGAAAGAGGTTGTTTTTCTCCCCAAAGAAGCACTATCACCAAATTCTTAGTGTTTTTGGCAGAAGTTAGTTGGAATAACTCAACAGCAGAGGGTTGGTAAATGTTTAAGCTATTTATAAAGTGCTGCAACCAAACTAAACAATGTAATATGTCTGCTTGAATTCTAGCGTGTGTTGGAACGAGCAAACAGTCTGTACATTGCACTTGACAAGTCAAGACCAATTGCACTGGAATATCCTATTCCTATAATTCAACTTTATTATAAATACAAGTGTTAGAGGGCAAATTTATTCCATTCATTTTTAGAAATCAAATTGCATAAAGTTGGATAATTAAATATCTAATGATAGAGTATGTACCACTCAATTTATGGTAACTTCCTTTGAGAAGGGGATGAGCCAAAAAATGTTATGTTTGTTAGGAGTCACCTTGTGTTTTTATCCCAACCTGTTCAGTGAGGGTGGGGTGAGAATGAGACCCACTTGCAATTGAGGGGGGGAAATGCAATTGACTCCATATTTTTAAAAAAGAAATAACTTAAGTAGTTCCATAAGAATTTTCTTTCAATATGATTTCCATGTTAAAAAAAGAAATTATCGCCATTTTTTTTCTTGACAATTAAATACTTTAGCTCATTTTCCAAATGAAAATATTTGGTTTGTTAATTTTACGGATGCCAAGATTTAAGTAGTGAATGACCCACATGTTCTTAAATCTCTTGGGTATTAAAAATATGTTACATTTCGGATGTCTCAGCAGATCAGAGATTCACAGGTAATCACAACAGATTGCCAACAACAGTGACAAACCTTTGAAAGAATCTTGTCTCTTTTTTCCCTTGACTATTAATATTGGTTTAATATTGATATTACTATTATTACTGGGATTTTTGAGTAAAAGCATACATAGTACGTTTGAATAAGTGACGCTGAGTTAAAAACATAATTACAACCAAAACTTTCATCTTTCCAGAAATTTCATTGATCTAATGAAAAACATAAATTTGTTAGAGGTCTCTTGGTATAATAGAAATTACTACACATCATAAACTTCTCTTTAGATTTTGACTCTACCATTGCTGATTCAGTGGTCTTCAGCTTTTTTTCCTCCTCTGTATCTGTAAGATGGCTGCTATGGCTGCGAGAATTTAGAACAGATACTCTTAAAAAAATAACGACTTTTTATGGTGTTTGTTTCTAATCTAATCCTTAAACGTTATTTAACCTTTAAGTGAGTCTATAAAATATAGAGTGTAGTACCCAAATATAAAATATTATTTATTCTAATCATCCTTTGAAAAAAATACATCGATTGTTTTCTCCTTTGCAATATGTCTAATATGTTCCAGCTGATGCAGGGATGTTGGGCATTATTAGCTCTAATCTCCTCTGCAGTCTCAAAACCAAACTAACTGTTGCCCAGCTGATTCTGACTAGATACGAAATGGCAAGTGAAGAACAGAGTTGGAGCTCTCAAAGAGCATATTTTCAATAACGCAAAGCCAGCGAGCCAAAGATTAGGATTGTGGTTTAAGTGAGCCTTGCCCCTCACTCCAATTCCTTTTTTCATTCTTTTACCTTTTTCCTTCCCCACCCAAATTCCATTATGCTTAGGGATCTACTGGGGCAGACAGTGAGCAGGACTGGAGGGAAAGATGTCTTGGCGGTAGGTGGAAGGTGGATTTCATGGCAGGATGTACACACAAGTTGAAGTGGAAAGAATTAGGCTGACCCTGAATTTTCAAAGTAGCACAGAGTTTGCCATTTGCTACCCACTGTCAGCCTAGTCTTAACTAGTTGTTAGTAACCACAAACCAGATTCACCGCCATCAAGCTGATTATTATCTATAGTGACCCTATTGCACTGGGTAGAATTACCTTGTGTGCTTCTGAGACTGTAATTCTTCATGGGAGTTGAAAGCCTCATCTTTCTCCTGAGGAGTGGCTGGTGGTTTGGAACTACTGACTTAGCAGCCCAGCAAGTAACCACCATGCCACCAGGGCTCCTAAGTTGCTGGTAAAGACTTTGAAAATTGGACAAAAAGATTTAGAAAGGTTGAAGTGAGCAAAGAATAGCACCAAACAGGACATGGCTTTCCTTTATGTTTCCTCTTTCTTGAAATTACCTCTGCTTTCCCTTTTACCTACAGGAAAGAGAACTTTACCTTCCTTGTAGGGAAGAGTAACATAGAGGGAAAGAGGAGGCAGTTGCTAGAAACAGACAAGAGGAGGTTCTGTGATGTTTGACTAGAAGGACCATTTGTATCTAAAGGATCTGCATTCATTTTGGGTATGCCTCCAGTATAGTTATATGACAGCATTTTCTAAGAAGTTGCTAATATATATCATCTGCTCGGTGAATTGTAAAGCTAGTTAAGAACTTTTAAGTTTTCTAATGAAATGCATTAATACTTCAGGTTTCTATTATAAAACTTGACTTATGACCTGCTTGCTAACCTCAGGGTATAGACTTCTCATTGTCTCCATGTAAGCCTCCTTTATCCTAAAAGGAAGTCTTTTAATGGTGATCTTTAAAATGGAGCCTGAAATGATAAGCTTCTATGAATTAAATTCAGTATTTACTTTGAACCCAAATACCACTTTATGATTAAATATTATTAGTGGATATATGTATAAGCCCAAATTGGAGATTCTAACCTAAACACTTGAATACACCCCAATCGTAACTTACTCTATCCCTTTAAAAACATAAGATAAAAATAATTTGGAATTCAGTACACATTACAAACAATGATTGTGGAAGCTGTTAACTGTTTGCCCATGATGAGGAGCTTGCTGTCACTTTTAAGAATCACCTCTGCCTCAGTTTTTATTTTGTTGGGTTGTGTTACATGCAACATTTTACTGCTTAGAGAGTCTCAAATTTTTGGAATCCATAATTACTTTTAAATGCTTTATTGTGCATGTTAACATTACCCTATAGTGAGAAATGATGCTGTCCTGTGAATTAGAAAAGCATACAGCCAGAATTATATAGAGACTATTAGAAGGCAAATGGCCTCAAAGTAAGGTCATGTTAGGCAATTTTTTGTCCCTCCCCCCAAGAAAATCAAACCTTGTCTCACTGTATGTATATTTCTCCCCAATTCCTCAAATGAGATATTGTGTTGATTGTTTGGAACATTCCCCTGGCTGCTGGATGTCAGGGAGTTGCTCTTTGTATGGACACTTGGGCCCACAGAGGAGGAGACCATCAGGAAGCTCATCGTTTCCCCCAGTGTAAGAGGCGGCTTCAGAATATCTGAGGAGAAATGGAGTAAGAGATAATGGCGTTCCCCCGTACTTTCTGCAGCCCCTTCATATTTGAAGGAGGAGTGTTGGCTCAGAGAATGACAGACTGGAGAGTATGCCAGAGCATGGCAGAGCTTGTCAGCTCTGTATGCAAAATGGTCAAAATGGCAGTTTCAAA